GAAATCCACACTGAAAATGCCTTATCTTAAATAGGATTGTGGGTCCTTCAAGTCTAGGAATAGAAGGAGATCATATTGGTTATCTCTACCCAGTTAGACTTCTCAACTTATTCCGGTGATTATCAGAAGTCTTCCCTGGAGAACTTTATCAATAAACTGCTCCTTATTTCTTCTCATCAATAAGTTGATCAAACTTTCAAAGAACTCTGAAATTGTTCAGAAAGCTTATTGATTTCCCCGTTAGTGAAGAAACAGTGTGAACGCTGTGTTGGTGCTACCGTTGCAGCTGCTTTTGAAGTGCATGCTATCATCAATCAGACACTATTAAAATTGGCTTGATTCATTCATAATAATGGTAAGAAAAGATAGTACCAATAGTCACAGGTACCTTGGGTGCAATTCCAAAACATCTGAAGCACCAATTGAACACCATGGGCATTGACAACATCACCATTGGTCAATTACAAAAGGCAGTTTGACTTGGAACAGCTTACGTCCTGTGATGAGACCTTTAACTCCGTCAATCATCCATACCTGCTTATTTCATGTCCTTAGGAAGGACTTGATAGGTGCATAAAAATGCCAAATCCAGTCTGAACATCTGGCTACTGTGCAAACCACTATAATAATAATACAGTCCTGACAGACTACTTCCTGCCAATTATCATCCATTACATTAACATTAATATTTGTTGACTTCTCTGGCAGAAAGCAACAAGAGATATAAACATGAAAATTCTTCAGGTGCTTTCTGCTTCTTTAATATATTTGGTCAGTTTGATCTTATCCTGATCGACCTGCTCCAGACCTTGTTCTGTTTCCCACAACGGGATCTTCAGATCTTTCCTTCAACCCAGTCTGTACCTCATGCTCATGTTCAATAGATGATACATTGACATGCTGCTTCTACAAATGAGGGTGGGTGTAACTCATTCCATGTAACCTTAGCACATAAATGCTTTCTTAAATCCGAACACGTATAAAATTCCCTGGGGTGAGGAATGGGAGGCGGGGTAGAAAGTGAGTGGGTAAGGTTAAACGTTGAAATTGCTAAAATTTGACCTGACCATAAATCTCCACTTTGGCTCATGTTTTATGTGAACATTTAGTGGGAAAGTAATTCCCATGTACAATTGCTTTGCCTTTTAAGTCATTTCTGACTGATTGCTGTCATACCTGCAATTTTTAACATCTTTCTTGGTAGCTTTAGCAATATTTTTAACATTTCACATGGTTGCAGTGGAACACTCTATGTTTAAATCAAGGAAGTGAGTCCAGAGAGTGTGATGTGCTAGAAATACTCAACATTTAAAATGTTGGAAGAGCTGAATGCTTTTACATTGATAATGGCATCTACGGAAGAAAAAAAAAATTCTAATCATACAGTAGTACTGGAAATAGAAGTGTTAGGAGAAGCTAGGTTTAGCCTGAGAACCTTAGCTTCTATTTGTGGTTGATCCATATGGCGAGTTACAAGAACTGCAGCTTGGGACAGCTTCCTTTTCAGTGAAAGGGAATATTTTATGAGTGTAAGAATTCCTGGCAGCAGTTTTATAATTTGAACAGAAAGTTGAAAGAAATATCAGGAACTGTTGATTGGAGAACTTCCCTTGTTTTCAGAAGCTCAGAGGGTGGAGCGTATAAGTGTTTTTCTGTTTAGCTATTGACCTTATCTTAACCCTAATAAATATTGTTTGTCTTGATCTAATGCTAAGCATTCTTTCCATCTGACCATGTCAGGCACAAAGAACCAAGAACACTCCTAGAGTTCAAAGCACGGAAGACTTTATTATTGCTACCTATGCACAAGAATCTAGTCAAACCTAAATTGACACTTAGATAAGAGTCAACAGAATTCATAAGAGTTGGACTTGGTCTCTTCTGGCTGTACAATGATTCCAAACTTATAACACATTTAACCCCGCCTTCCAGCTCAGCCTGCTCCTCTCCTACAGATTAATAGTACATGGATCAAGTCTATCAGCTGTTTATCGTTCAGTGTTCACAGGAAGAATGTTTGCTAATCCATGTTAGCCACCAAGATACGTTTTGGACATTCTCCTATCAGAAAACAATGCTCCCATTTTTTGCGACTTTCTAATAGCTTGAAGCTAACACATTCATTTCATGGAAAATAAAGGAATTTGTTTGGATTTGAGGACAGATGTTAGATCATCTATTGGATGGATTTGTAGACCAGAACCTAGCTCTCCACTGCCTCTCCAATTGATTTGTCAATGATGCCATGAACTTTACTACTGGCATCGTTTAGAATTTATTAGACAGAAAAACTACTAGAAAAAGAACACGTGAAGCTATAAATTCAGGGTTCCACTGGTTTGACCCAAGGCTCTAAGATAAATGAATTCTGAAAGGGCAGCTTGAACCTTTAAAAAGTCTTGCATTGAACAGCTGTGTGTACTGGGAGAAACATCATTTTTGGAGACCGTAGGAAAACTTGGCCCGTAGCTCATTAATTCTCACTAAACAGACTACCAGTCTCCACATTTAACAACAGCCATAAGTTAATATTTGCAGCTGCAATTCAAATGTACTTGATTGGAAAGAAGAATAGATCTTTCTTCTCCAATTTGTTGTGGCTTCCCCGGAGTTTGTTTTTCTTTAAAGTACAAATTGACAGTCAAACATGTAATTAGTTGTGATGAGTGTCACAGCCAGCCATTTCCCTTTTGCCATGCCACTTCTCTAAAAGTTTCTTTATTTTGATCACAATGAATTAGGCATGCTTTTCATAATCATTGAGGGAATCTAGCTTTCTTTTCATTCCTACTGCATTCACCCAATTGTCAGATTAAAACGCAATGGCAGCCTATCAGGAACAGTTTCCTGTTTCTATGGGTATTATTTATTTAGTTGCTTTGATTTAGATCAGGGGACTCCAAATCTGGCAACTTTAAGTCTTGTGGACTTCAACTCCCAGAATTCCTCTACCAGCCATGTCTTCAACCTGGTCACATTCTCCTCTAACAAAAGGCAATAAACTGGATTGGAGAGAGAATGAGTTGCCCAAACTAAGCCATGATTTCCCATGGTCTATCTATCTATGGTCTTCTCCAGGGGTGGGGAATTCCAAGCATATCACCTAGACAGTCCCAAAGATGCTTGTTCAGGAGGCAACTGAACTTTCCTGTTTTCCCTTTGAAGACGTTTCACTTCTCACCCAAGAAGCTCTTGACGGGTGGGGAATGGAAGGAGCTTCTTGCATGAGAAGCAAAATGTCTTCAAAGAAAAAAAAAGAAGACCGTCCAGTTGTCTCCTGAAAAATCATTTTTGGGACAACCATGACCTGGATGACTGAGACTCTCCATAGACTGTTACCTAGATAGATTTTTTTTTTTTGCTTCCTGGGTTTTGTTTTCAGACCGTTGACACATAGTTTGCAGCAAACGTTAGTTCCTCTGTGTCTCTTTCATTATGAGGCAGCATTTTATCTGAGCTCAGTAGTAGATTTGGATGTTAGCCAAAAGAAAAAAAAGGAGCAAACACAGAATCATTTGTGCCATTTGGTCTTTGCTTACCACAAATGGACATAAATGTTTTATCTATGCCTAGAGAGGCCGCGTGAGGAAAAGATGCAAGGGGGTGTGTAGGCTGCAAGTGCTGCCCTTCAACTAGGAAACACTCAAGAGGCAGAACAAAAACAAGAAAAGAAAAGAAAAAATGGAAGAAAGGAAAGCTTCTCAGCCCCCATCTCCCTTGATTTTTGCAAAAGAAAAGGGACTCTGAGCGGCAAACTCAGGCTGAGCTTTCTGGCAGCTGTCTTGCCAGAACCTCATTTCAGAAGTTGGACTGCAGGTGAAGGAGAGATAAAGTTCTGATTGAAATGCAAGTGAGGGAAGCAACTCCCAGTAAATTGTACCGCTAGATCTGGAAAAAGTACTAGTGGCCTTCGCACTTCAGGGTTAATAATCCCCTGCTTTTTCTAATTACAACTTGCTCACAGCAGGGGAGATAACTAGGCTGCAGAAGAATATGCTTAATGAGGTGGGCATGGAAAATTCATTAAAGGCTTCTAATTGAATTTACAGTTGTACGGTTAGCGGAGGATAAGTTCTCCGTCAGGAAATGCGGGAGAAATTTGTGTCCTGCTAAATGCCCCCTCCGTCCCTTGCAAGGGAATAACCATCAATATATCCCCCTTGATGAGGTTTGAAGAATAAGCTGTTGGTTGATTTCGAAAAGGAAGCCGGGCCATGTAGAAGAGAAGATAGCGACTTGGGTATGTTGCAAAAAAAAAACTAGGGATACTTTGGGTTTCCTTTGAGTGATTATACAGTCACAAATCCCATCATTTTTCTTCCATATAGCATCAGCCTTGTGAACTCTCAGATTTCATCTTGCTGCTATGTATTCAAAATGGACAGTGATTAATATATATATGCAGGGGTGGGATTATACCAGTTCGGACCTGTTCTATACAACCGGTTGTTACAATTGCTCCATTTGGAGAATACTCAGAATTCCCCAGCCAGCATGGATGATTCTGGGAGTTGAAGGCCACAATCTTAATGTTGCAAAGGTTGGACACCCCTGGACTAAGACTATTGATTGATAGAGTATAGAAACTCATGGCTTACTTTGGGCAATTCTCTCTCTCTCTCTCTCTCTCTCTCTCTCTCTCATCCAGTTTGATACAGAGGCCTTTTGTAAGAGGAGAGAGGAATTCCCCATGCTGGCTGGGGAATTCTGGAAGTTGAAGTCCACATGTCTTAAAATTGTCAAGGTTGAACAACACTGCTCTAATATATAATGTCTGTCTAGTTAGATGAAGGGGGGAAGGATAATGAAAGGATATAGCCAAGAATTGTTTTAATTCATCTCATTTTTCCTCTTCTCTTAAATCCTCGGAATCTTATTTTCTAAACAAGAAGCACCGGACCCTACAAGCTAAATGCAAAATGGATGGCAATCAATGGGTTAGTCTGCTTTAATGCCTTGTTGCTGGAAATGAAATGTTGATCTCCTTCTCCTTTCTCCAGGAAGTACTGTTATGCGGGTGACAGCATCTGATGCAGATGACACTTCTACAGATAATGCCGTGCTGAGATACAACATTCTGAAGCAGACACCAGACAAACCATCTCCAAACATGTTCTACATTGACCCAGAGAAAGGAGACATTGTCACAGTGGTATCTCCAGCCATGTTGGACCGCGAAGTAAGTCACGAGAGGCTTCCATGATTTGTTTGGCCAAAACCGACTCAAACAATTGCAAGGCTTATTGGTTACTGCCTACTTTTCGCTTTGTCTCCTTACCTGGAACTCAGTGGGCCATGCGTTGATGTGATCTTTAGATGGCTCGTTTAGAAAAACATGATGTAGAACCCCACCGATGGAAACGAAAAAAAAAAGGAAGTGTTTAGATAGATGAATAATATCAGGATTTAATTTCCCAGTGATTTGTAGCAGATCAGCAGTATTTCTATTTCTAGACTAGAGGTGTTTCTTTCAATTTTTCCATGCTTAGAAAGGAGCTGTGAAATAATATTAGAACATACATGTCTTATTTTAAAGGCAACTGGACTTGCTCATCCAAGAAATGCCTTCAGTTCTAACTACCAGTAACTGCTGGGGAAACCAGTCCAGGTGGCTTTAAAAGAAAAGCACTTTTAGGACAACTATGACCTGGATGATTGAGAACCTCCATAGACATTAGAGCACACAACCTGCATGCAGAAGGGAGGAGGAGGAGGAGGAGGAGGAGGAGGAGGAGGAGGAGGAGGAAAAATAGTGATAGTAGTAACTCAGAAGTGTCAACTTCATGACCCATCAATGTCAAGAAGACACTGGGTTAAAATAGAGAGCAATTTGATATGACAACTGGGTTGGAGAGAGAAGAAATAAGCTTTATTAGGCTTTGTCCTTGAAGAAAAGGAGGAGGTTTAGAGTTTGTGAGTTAAGAAGGGATAAGGAGTTGAACTCTTCTTTGGTTCAGATTAAAATTCTGAGCCATCAAAGAATAGAGATATTGTAAAAACCCTTCTGAACTTGCAAAGCAGAACTGAGCACTACTGCCATGTAGCTGGCTAATTCAACACAAAGAAAGGGGGAAAAAGAATAATTTCCCTTTAAATATAGCTCCATGCTGACACCCCCAATTTGCATAAACAGAAGTGAGCCAACCTCTCTGAAATCTTTCATTATGAGATTATCCTTCCATATTCATTTATAAGTGTAACGGCCACATTGGGGTGTGAAACGAGCGTGTGGTGCACAAGTAATGTGTGTTTTCTTTTTCTTTAAAATGGTTAAAGGATGTATAATGGGGGGAAATTGCCAGCATCATAAATAAGTGCTGAATTTTTTAAAGGAGTAATTTTATTAAAAATGACCGTTGCGAATATTAAAAAAAAAAACTAATACAAACTTAAAAACACCAATGATTAGGTCACCCTGATGTTTAATACATCATTTTGAGCCAGCCAGAGCTTCTGTGTGAGACATGTAAAATACAGTATGTTGGGATAGGCCAGAAAATTGGGGAGTTTCCCATCTTTGCTAAAATTGTAGCAAAGATGGGAAACTTGTCTGGAATGTCTTGACTCTAATTCTTTTATTTAAATCTGGCCAAGTTTTTGTGCAGGCAAAGGGTGAATATTGCCAGAAAGCAAGGCCACAGTATGTCAATGTGTGATTGATCTGTCTCCTTAAAGAAGAGACAAACTCATCCAATAAGGTAAGGTTGGGATAAAAAAAGGAAGTCCCCACCAAGGATTTGCTATGACCAGAATCAAAGCTGACAAAGTCTCAGACAAACTCCCCAAAGACATGACTGAGTTCTAATTCTATCTTGAATTCAGCTTCTTTATTTAACAAAAGAAGAACCACCTTAGAAGGGAGCGTAGATTTTTAGCTATGAGGTCTTTGCTGCTCTCTGCGTTTGGTTGTTTTCTTGTGGACATTGCATGACCTAACAGTGAACTGATGATGTTACCTAGTTGGGTCATGCAAAATCTGCAAGAAAACAACCAAGCTCAGAAAACAAGGACCTCACAGTTCTTTTCCTCCTCCTCCTCCTCCTCATCTCCTCCTCCTCCTCCTCCATACCCCACTCCCTACTAGCACTGATGATGTTACCTAGTTGGGTCATGCAACATCTGCAAGAGAACAACCAAGCTCAGAAAACAACAAGGACCCCACAGTCATCCTCCTCTCTGCACACCCCACTCCCTCCTAGCACTGATGATACTACCTGGTTGGGTCATGCAACATCTTCAAGAAAGTGACCAAGCTCAGACAGCCCCAAGGAACCCACAGTTCAACCCTAAGCTGCAGATATTCTCTTCTGTTACTATGTTCTTTAGGCACTTTGGTTAAAATATCCATATGAAATGAAAAATATTAAATACAAGGGCTAAGCAAGAAAGAAGAGGAGAACTTTATGGCCAGATGGGAATATGAAATATATCTTAGTGAGATACTTCAGGGATTTCAGGCTTGCTACCAGCTAGGAACTGAAATAAAAGGCTTTTCCCCATGTTTATCCACTCACAGTCACTGGACAAAGGCTTCCATCTGTCCCGTTTTTATAACCCATCGTATGACTAATAAGGCAGTTATGTATTGTGCCTAATTATGCTTTTTAAATGTTAAGTTAGTGCAATTAAAACACGAGCGAAATATTGACAGACATCTGTGACATAAATGCCATTGCCTTGAAAAGAGCTAGCTGTAGATAAATTGTTGAATTATACCCTAAAGAATGGGGGCGGGGGGAGTAGGAGGAATCACCAGGATGTCAATCAAACCTTCTTTTAATTCTTACTTGGATTTCACTCCATCTTCAAAATGCATTGAATCAGCTGGAGAATCATTTATAAAACATGAATGCCTATCAGCTTTTGCCGACAAGAGTGGATTTTTTGCCATTATGGAGAAAAACTACGAATAAATAGCATTGGAATCCCGATTAAAAGGTTGCTATCAAATTGGGAAGGAAGCCCAGAACAATCTCAGTTTTCTTTTGTTTTGCTCCAACACAAAGTCCAGTTTTCTCAACTTTAAAAAAAAATGTTAAAAGTAATTAAATGTAAAAAGTACCAAAAGGGTTGGTTTCATTGAGAAGATCCCTTCAGCGAATATATTCAACATTTTTCAGTAGGAGATTAAACTTTCCCCTGGCTTTCATCCTCTAAATGTTCTCCCATCAATTTATCCTCTGCTTCTATATTTTTTTTAAAAAAAACACTGCAGGATTAGAGAAAATGTGCATTTCGTATCATATTTAGATTGGATTTTCTCATTGTGCCAAACAGTTGTTTGTAGACTAAACCACAGTTACCTGGGTTTGTACAGCAGTTCAAGCCATAGTTTACTGTAGCTTGTTTGGTTGAATTGATAGTTCCTTGACTGGGGTGTTGCTTACTTCTTGATTGTTTGTCTAGTATTCATCTTGATGTTAATATCTACTCCGTTGGGTGTCGATTGCTGGCAAGGATATGTTCTGGTCTTTTTGTTTCCTTTTGAGTCCCAAAGATGCTTTTTCAAGAGGCAAGTGGACTTTCTGGTTCTTCTTTGAAGATGTTTTGCTTCTCATCCAAGCTTCTTGGATGAGAAGCAAAACATCCTCAAACTATGACCTGGATGATGGAGAATCTCCATAGACGTTTCTTTTTTAGCTTTTTTTATTGTCTCTTTAGAATGGTGTGCAGATGTTGTTTATCTCTATATGCCTGTTGATGGCTGATTTGTCTGAGTGCCAGGCTTTCCAGAATGTTCTTGGAATGGTGAATGTTTTTGCTCAGTTGAAACTGGTTGAGCCTTACTTATTTTCATAACTATGGACCTATGATTGGTTAGCCACTGTGTGATGAGCCTCATTTTCATTAATAGCCTCCTTTATCAATGACTTTTTTTTACCCAGAATCCTTTAAAATCAAAGCAGCTATTTGGCCTAATCCCTTTCCTTTAATTTAATTTTTTTTAAATTCTTTTTGGAATATCTTTATATTGTCAGATACATTTATTGATTCACACTGCTTTCAGAAAAAAAGAAGTATCTTGTGGGTCAGCATAATTTGTTGCTTCACCAGCTAGTTAAAGATAAAGAGAAGCTTCACGCAAGCACAAGAGGGTAAAATAATATCAAGAACAGTGTTCAGCTAAAAGAAAGAAGACATTTTTTTAAAAAAAAAAAAGAAGGAAAAAAACTCCATCAGTTGTGTACCAATTTAATAAACAACTGTCATGTATGCTTAAAATCACCATTCCAATATTTTAATTATGTCATCTTCAAATAACTTCTCATGCAAAGAAAGCTGAAGTGACAGCTTGTGGCCTGAAGAAAATGTAACATGACGTAGCTCATTTTCTTTTCCTCTTAGAGCTAAAATTTAATTTTCTTCATCTTGACAAGGAAGTGTTTTAATTAGAAATTACTTCTGTTTCTGCCCTCCCTCCCCATTTAAACCCTGATACACACAAAACAGCAAGACTTTGGATTGTTCGAGTGAGCACGTGTATGTTATCCTGTCCAGAACTAGAAATAGGCCCTAAATCTTTGTCCATTGCTACTGTCTGGGAAAGCAGTATGCAATTCCTACCAGCTTGTCCAGATTAAAGAACCATTGTTGGATCTAGAGCTGGGGTTAGTTCACTCAACTTTTGAGGATCATTTAGCAAAATGTGGAATGCTTTGATTATGTTATGGTCACCCACACACAAGAACTCTTTCAAAAACTCATGCACGTGTCAAGAAGAGAGACACAATTGCTTGCCAATAGCTAGAATTAAAGTATTCAAGGGTTGCAATCACAAATGCTTCAATTTTTCATGAATTGATCCTTCCGCCATTTCAACCATTTAATTGTTGTCCATCATGATATCTGATGGCAGAAAATTCCATTATCTAATCATGTGTGTGATCTTCTTAATCTAGAGTCAGTCTTCGAGATGAAAACTGAGTAATGTTCAGATGCTTTTCCAAGTCTTCTTATTTCCCATTCTTTAAGAGGACCTGTTAATTCTTCTAATAATATATTACACTTTGCCTCCCCCTGCCTTTTCTCCCTTTTTTCAGTTTTTAAAACACATTTATGCATTTTCTTCTAGAATAGATCCATTGTAATTATCTTTGTGTTTGTTCCTTTTTTAATCTTACTATTTTAAAAGCGATAAATAAATAAAGGCAACCTTTAAAATGGAGGAATTCATTTACC